TTCCCTAAATTCAAGGAGAATTGTCTACAGTAGTCTTCCAAAATCGGAAAAAATCGCCCAATAATCCCGCAAATTTAGAGAAAATTGGTACTACCGAAACTTTCAAATACGGAGACAGCTTCAATCAAAATTGGATGTGGGTGTGGGTGTGGATGTGCGAGTGTGGGTGTAGGGTGTGGATATGGGTGTGTGTGTGTGTGTGTGGGATGTGGGTGTGGGCTGTGCGGTTAATAAAGAGAAGATCCACATCCACACCCATATCCACACCTACACCCACACCCACACCCACATCCACACACCCACACCCACACCCACATCCACACACCCACACCTACACCCACATCCACACACCCACACCCACACCCACATCCACACACCCACACCCACACCCCTACCAACCATAATATGGCTGAATATGGTAATTTACTTGAAAAATCTGTGGGACATACAATAGGTCGTCCACCACGACCACCTGAGCCTGCAATGGGACCATACTATCAATTTATAACAACAGATTTAGAAAATATGCTATGGATTGGAAGTGTTTTAATATTTCGACATGTTTCATATGTACACCCATCAATTCAATTTAATGCAAAAGTTAAAATTACATTTAAATGGGAAACTTTATATGAAAATTTATTTAATATGCAAGCTTATCGAATTAATCTTAATATTGAATTACCTAAAGGTAAAGATGATGAAAAAATTGATTGGATAATTAATTGGGAAGATTTTACAACAAATGGAACATTTTATATTGCTCAATATGATCAAAAATGGCGTGGTGCATTTTTTTCTTGTAATGGCTTTGATGCTACTGTTTCGAAAGAAATTGCATTAGGTTTAACTTATAATACTGTTTGGAATCATCTTCTTTCTACTCATGAAAAAAATCCATTTCATCTTCTAGTTTGGGGTGGTGATCAAAATTACAATGATTTTGTTCTTGAAGATGTTCGATGTCTTCAAGAATGGTCCCATTTAACATGGGAAAAAAATGGAAATGGAAAATTCCAGAAAAAGAACAACAAGATATTGAACAATATTATTTTTATAATTATGCTGAACATTGGGAACGTCGATCAGAAATGAAACAAGCACTAGGTTCGATTCCAAGTCTTATGATGTGGGATGATAATGATATTTACGATGGTGCTGGATCTTATCCATCATTACTGAATGATAGTCCAATTATGGTTGGATTACTTGAATTAGCACAAAAAATGCGACTTCTCTTTCAACATCATACTACACCTGAGAAAGCTCGAAAACATCAATTATTCGGCTATCGTGGTCACAATTTTCTTGCTCGATGTGGTCCTAATTTAGTATTTCTAGGTACTGATGGTCGTTCTGAACGTAATGAGAAAACAGTCATACATGAAAATACATGGAATATGATATTCGAAAAATTGAATATTGATCTAGAAAATGTTCAACATTTGATTATTATATTAGCTGTTCCATTTTTATTTGCACGTTTTAAAGTAACAGAAACACTTCTTGAAACATGGAAAAAATGGACTATGAAATATCAAAATATTCCATTTAGTGAACATACAAATTCAATTTTTGGTTTACCTGAAATCTATGATGATCTTCTCGATGAATGGATACATGAAGCACATATTAAAGAACGAAATTATATACTTTCTCGTCTTCAAAAACTTGCAGAGATGAAAAAAACAAGAATAACATTATTCAGTGGTGATGTTCATTGCTGTGGTATTGCTCGATTTCGAACTCGAAA